ATTATATAATAATAGAATATTTTAAATATGGAAAAGGTTCTTTGACTACAAGACAAAAGAATTCTTAAAAGATGAAAGAAAATGTTTCAATCGATCTTCACTGTGATTTTTTTTTTCTTTTTAAACACGAATGTTTGAGAAGCAAAAAGATTCAAATGTGTTTTACTTTCAGTTTGGGCTGGAAAACATTTTCATAACTTTTCCTGGGAAAAGAAAAACATTTCCTACTTCAGATCTAGTTAGTTTCATTCCCATCTTACAAAAAACCCCAAACCTTTATTTCACACAGATAAACCTCTCTTTGACCCTAGTGATGAGTGGAGTGTTAAATTTGTTATGTCTTTACTGTCACTTTGATTCAATTATTTTAAAATGAATGGCATTTGCATCAGAAGGCAGCAGAATAACCATTTCTTACCTTTAGTCTTTCTGTTACACCATCAGTGAAACTGACTGTGAATTCAGCAATTTTGGGCACTCTGAGTTTTCCTTTGTTCTTCTGGTCAGGCTGATATTCTGTTCTTGTTTTCACAATTACCTGGAAAATATCAGCAATTTTAAGGTTTCTGCACACAGCATGTATTTTCTTTGTTATCTAAGCTTTTCTATATAAACCATCCCCTGAATCTACACAAGTCTTCTAGAACCATAAATTAACACAAACTCGTCATACGCTCAGGAACTAAGAGAGACAGATAAACAGTCAGGAAGATACGCAGACCGAGGACAGAGAGCTTATCACACTGAGTCTTAAAATAGCTGACATCAAAATGTTTAACACTCACTTTTGTTTAGCACCAGACATATAATTTTTATATCATATTCAACAGGCAGAACACGCAGAATAACAGCCCATCCTAAAGAAGAGCCTCACTTATTAAAAGACCCATCCTAACAAGTTCCACTGAAGCCAATTTAAATTTAGGCCATTTGGCATCTCATTTATTCAGGCTCCAGATTATCAATATTAATCTCATACTATCACCTTGGGTTTTCCCCAGAAGAATTCAGTGTCATTTGCTGACTAATCCAGGTCCTACTAATCTTATAAAAATGAGGTGGCTTACGCCAATGGAGATGCCATAAGTGGCTTTTAAAAGGGTACAGTCAAATTACCAAAATTGTATTGTCAATCTACATTGAATTTAATTGTAACCTAGAATGATCCGAAATATTTTTTGTAAAATCCACCCACTGCAACGCAGAAAAGGTAACATGTAATGCCAACTGCTCCCAGAGGGGACTAGCATCGGGGCTGTACTCTGAAACTAAAAGCCCATCAGGGGAGTGAGCGTATCCATCCCATTAGACATGAGAATCTTAAAAGACTACCCATCCATGAGCCTATGCAGCAAAACAGTGGTGTGAGAGCATCCCAGCGTAGCTACACTATCTTAATCTAGCTGGAAAATGCAAGAGAAGACAAAATGGCCCTGTCTTCAGCACTGGCCAAGAGCTGGAGCTCATCCTTAGAGATGGGGGCTGCAGCTGTGAGCGCACGCTACCACTGCACTTCTGCGCAGGATTCCCAGCCCAGGGCCAAGGTCCACAAAGCATACAGCAATTTGGTGTGGTTTGCAAGGTTTGGATAGGTTAAACGCAAAAGGATAGAAAGAACACTGAAGCTCTCAATTCTAGGGCAAACACTTCCACTTTTTGGCCTCCCATTCTGAATTGCAGGACTATCCAGCCATCAGCCTTGCTGAAGTGAAAATTAAATACTCCAGGAGTGGTGACTGGTTCATATGAAAGTCACGAGAGCGATCCTAAAGCTCTTTGTCAGAAACAAAAAGTCTTGAAGGATTGAAAAAGATTAAGTGATGCACAAGGTTGAGTTACCAGCTAATGAAGAACTTGCTTCCAAATGAAGATAGCAAAGTCTGGTTTGGACCAGAGAAAACCCCAGGTATTTAACCCTCCTGCATTTAATGCCATGTGAAAATCAGAGTGAGAGAAAATCAGCGTGGAGTCATAAGCCAATTTGCTGGATTCAAATGCAAATCATTAAAGACTGATGAATATTTACATCCTTCAGTGAATCCCTTTCAATAATATTTATTACAGCAGCATTTGCAACATTAAGTCTTGGGAAGAAGAGGGGACAAAAAGCCACCCAAATATATTTACATGAGCATTTTGGAACTCAGAATTTCTGATGACACAACATGGATGATGGGCAATGACACATGGGGACAAGCTTGATTCAGCGGGTTTGGGATGAACCCGAACCCCACTGTGAACTTACTGTTGAGGCTGACCCCGCTACACGCCGAAATGCAGCCCAGCACACTGTGGACCAAATAAGCAAAGCTCCCTCTCCAGCCAGGACAAGCTGGCCCAGGTTAGCTCTGAGTTACGAACAAGCAATAAGCTCATTTTCTCACTCAAAAGGAGGTAAGTGCACTCAGGACTCCATGCAGCTGGCCCCTAGCTTTCCAGCCTCCTTGCTGGCCTTTTGTAAACCCAGTACAGCGAATTACAGAATGTCAGCCATCAACACCTGCCAACCAGCATTCAGAAATTGCACTCATTGTGTTTTCAAACCTACCAGCCACAATAGCCAATTCTCCCAAATTCATGTTTCCTGCTCGATATAAATCTTAGTTTCAGGCAAAATCTTTAAATATGTATGAGGGCCTTTCCACAGACTCTAACATTAAGTCTTAATGAAGCCAACAAGAAAAAAAAATTAAAAGCCTTACTTATATTTCTACATATAATTTACATTTTCTTCCACTCTTTGTCATTAATGACAGTCGTCTTACAGGTATTTTTTAACTGCCATTACATTCAACCAATATCCTATACGTAGAAATGTTTGAAGTATGCCGTCTACAGAGATACAGCATGAGACTGAAAATAAACACACACAGCCCTTCACAAGGCATCAGATTCAAGTCCAGTAGCAATGTCTGTCACGTCTGTGAATAAATAAGCACGCTCAGTCCCCAGCTAGATCAGAAGCTACTTGAAACCAAATTTGCTGACTGTGCCAGCAGTGAAACCTGTGTGTGTGCAGAGCCATAGTGATCCTGCTGGTCAGTGTTTTGCAGAGAAATTTGCAGAGGTATCAAAAAGCTTTAGTACAGGAGGTAAGAAGTACCTTTGCTAAATGCCTTCTGGCATTGCAAAAGCTAAGTATCTGCTCTCCAGAAGTATCTTTGTTAGACACCTGGTGGAATTACTCAGCAGAAGAAAGACAGGGCAGCCAGTAAGGTCTCCTCTTTAAAGGAGAGCACGGAAATAAAATGACAAAAGACAAACAGAAAACTGAAAACCTGTAGTGTGGGGGTAGCATTCAATATCATGGCAGTAACAATAAAAATGCAATTTTGCTGAGGGCACGGGGTACACATTTAGAAGAAAAGAGCCACCTCTTGTTCAGTCGCCTACAGTCTAAATAAATAAGCCTGAGCACAGATCCCACTTTTGCAGCAACGCTCCCCCCCTCTCCAACCAGCAAGCTGCCATCAGGAAGCCCACGCAAAGGCTTCTGAAAATGGAGTTGTGTTCATCACACTCCTTGAGCCCCCTGCGCTAGGGAGACCACCGCAGACAGGGCTGCCTTCACAGTATCCAGAGACAGGAGTGAACACTGTCAGATGATGACACAGAAATACACACACACACCACACACACAGAGTTTTTAGCGGAGCATTTGCTACACTGACAGCCTCCCATGCATGTGTCACTTGTGAGTGTCTCTGAAACAAGCCTAAATCAGAGCTGGTCAAAACACAAAAGAACTTTTCTAAAGCACCAAGTATTAATCTAAGTGCAAATTTAGAAAAGGAGTAATTAATCTTATAAAGATTTTTTCTATATTTTTAGCATTACTGGTTTTTGCTATTTTGGTTGGTTGTTCTGTTTTCATTCTCCAGTTTTCTGATTTCGGTTGGGTGGGAAAGAAGATTTGCCTTCCCCATTCCCTGCCATCACTCCTTTTTCACCTTTTCTTTCCATTTTGTCACTGAGAAAAAATTCCTGGCAGTAAAGTCTTCCAGAAATTCTAACAGAATTGCTGTTGGATGTACAGTAATAAAAACCCCACCGACTCCACAGTCAGCGCAATGATCAGCGTTCATTTATCACCGGCTCCCCCAGAGCAGTTCCATCAGAGCCCGGGATCCCACTGTTTCAATGTAAACAAGGTACATCCATCTCACACGACGACAGGTTTCCCGGGAGAGCTACTGGCGTTTATTACAACCCCCAGCAAACAGAATGATCCCCGTTCCCTTTTCTTGTCTGCTTTGCAGCTTTGCTGACCTCAGTAGAGTTATTCTTGATTGAAACCAGTGAAAGGGAGTATAAAATTGGGGTCCTGTGCAGGTTGCAATTCAAAGCAAACTGAAGCGAAAGAAATGCCCATCTCCTCATTCCCTTCTCTGCAATGCTGTTACAGTGGAAAGAAACTGCTCTAAGGGGGTAACTTCCAGAGCTGGCAGCACTGCTTGGCTTGTGCTCTGGTCTCATGAGTACAGACAATAAATGCAAACAATCAAACCAGTGCTTAAAGGAACAAGCAGTCTCTTGAATACTCCCAAAAGAGACAATCAGCCCCCTCCCCACCCCCACTGCAGCAACAGCAACACCATTCTACCCATTCTCTGCACTTGCCTCCTTGAGCTCTCACCTCCTCCTGCACGCTCCCTAAGGCTTGTCTTAACTCATACTCTGCATGGTGACAAGGGTCTGGCTATTTTAGAATGGCATCCCTAACCATGAGCTTACTGGGGCAGAGAAATAATAATAATAATCATCATCATCATCATCATCATCATCTCATGAAGCAACCTGCACACCTGTAAATGAATATTAAAAAGCAAGAACAGACCCACCAGCTTTTTGGATTGTCTGAGCCTTTGCAATTCCCAGATAAATATCCTTCGAACATTTTTGGACACTTGTCAGCCTTTGTGTTCTGTTATCTAGGCCCTGATCCAGCACCAGTTTATGCCTGTGCCTCACTTTGTGGGTTGTGATCGTCCACCAAAGAGAGCAACCCCCCTGCCAGCTCAGTCCAGCCTATCTATAGCACTTTAAAGCCGGCACTGTGGATGGAGTCTAGAATGCTAGCTCAGGGGATCTCCCTGCAAATTATGTTGCTGCTGTAACCTGTTCTTAAAGTTTTCACACTATTTCCCAGAGACTCTCCACCTTTAAACTGCAGAGAGACTGTGCTGTTTATGACAGATGCAATAAAGGGGACACAAATAAATTACCTGGGACTTTCTTCATTTTACATCCAAAATAAAACTGTTCTTTGAAAGTTGCTTCCTAGCTGAAGTCTGCAGGCTGATTGTAAGAATACAAGAAAAAAGAAAAGGGCTTCCAGAGAGCAGCAAATAGACATGTCTAATTACAGGGATCCACACTGCCAGTCCTTGCAGCTTCCTCCAAAACTAAGTTTATCTAGCATTTGAACTCATTAACTTCCAATTCAGCAAAGCACTTAAGCATGCAAGTAGTCCTGTTAACATCAGCAAGATTAGTCAGATTATTTAAAGTTAAGTGTGCACTGAAGCACTTTGGCCA